GGAAATTTATGTGTGAATCTCCAAAAAGCCCTTGTGTTTCGCAATGCACTCAAGGCGCTGAAGGCAGAGAGATAATTTTTTGTAGCTCGGATTTTCATGGAACTGGTCTGGAAAAATGGGGAAGTCGGAAAAGGATATCAACGCTTTAGCGGCTGGGTGAAGAAAACAAACAAAAGTAAGTGCAGCAGAGCAATGGATAATGCATCCATGATAATATTCCAATAGGTCTCAATGAGTCTGACAATTCGTCTGTATTGAACTCATCAGGAAAGTCTCTGTCAACTTTGCTGTTATCGCTGTCAAGTTCCAAGGTCTTTTCTCTTGACTCAATAATTTTTGTTTTTTTGCCTGCTTGATATGGTGGCTATAGCTTCATCCACGAGGCCAACTTTCGCTTCTTCACTCATTGAATCACTCATTGAATCACTCATTGTGTATTTTATTTGTTCTTCACTGTTTTCACTTTTTTGAGCTGGTCCACAGAGTTTTCAGTGGTCCATGTTTACTTATGATTAACAGAATTACACGTAATATGAAAAATGCTTGGTAGTCAGAACAACAATGCTGAATTAACTGAGTAGCCAATTCGTCGTCTTGTTTGATTGTATACATGTCATTGGGCTGTCAATTATGAGGGAAACTTTTACTTCTGATGAAAATGTAAAACCTCCATTTCTCCGCCAATATTTAGTCTTTCTCAATTTTTTTTTTTCAAAGATTAGAGATTTATCTTTCACCATTACTTTGACCCAAAAATCTAAATTGGAAGAAAATTGCCTATCTGAAGGTATACGGTAACCTTAACTAGGCCACAAAAACCGGAAGTCGGACAGCTGCCAAAATCCCATACAAACTCAAGTAAACAAGGCTGTTTTGGACTTTTTAAGCCTTAAAATGGAATGCTTACAGTAAAAACATTTCCCTAAACTAACAAGTAACCACTTACAGTACCACTTTGTCAGATGAGCTAGTGAGCATTTTTTGGCTGTTATTTTTGGCATAAATAAGCCACTCACTAGACAAATGTTTAGGCATCTGAGAATTGGTTTGATGTGCAACAATAATTATTGGTCTTTTAAGCTAACTTACATTATGCAAATTTTCTGTTGAAAGAAGCCATGAAATTGAAATCAAACAGTTCTAGTAGCCAATCAATATCCTAAACTTTAACTGGGAGAAAAATCAAAATAAGAGTGCTTCATATTGGGCAGAAATATGTTAGAAAACTCAAGTGTCTGACAATAGGTACCAATACCTTAACTATTGCAGTTGTTAAAAAACTTCAGAGCACCAGATATACAACTGAAGGATTAACCATATCATGGCGAAGCTCTGGCGGCCCAAAGGCCCGCCAAGTGGAGCCCCATACTCATATAGGAAAGAAAAGGAAACCCATGAGTTGATTTTTTCATGGTTATCATGGCTAGTGGTATTGCTCAACGGCGTGTACGCATGATGGCGACAGTGACGGCGACGGAGTCGTGCAACAAGGCGGTCATACTCCAAATAATAGGTTGACAGAGACATGCAGCCTTGGTTTATTGTGTACTTCTTTGATATTGGACATCCATGTTATGATCAATTGCCACCTGTCAAAGCAAGGTATCTGCTGACCAGTATCAGATGACCATATCACAGGCTCAAGTTTACAGCTCATCGAGGTCACATGTTTTTTTAATTTGACTGCTGACCAAATGCTGGTTTTCAACTGGATTGCGGGCTCATGTCAGGTTAACTTGTTGAAAACTTGGTCGGATTGTTTGCCAGTTGATGCTAACCTTGGATTAAAAGTTGACTGAATTGTAACTTTTTCTTCTATACAAATGTTTTTTGCTGCTTTGTTTTGTGTATATGGTGATTATTAAAACTCAAAACAGAAGGCCAAACAATATACAGGAAACCTCACCGCAAAGTTACAAAACTCAAATCAAAATTCTACCTTTTCCTGGGTTAGCTTAATCGGGCTCTGAACAACCCGCCCCAGGAGCTATGCTTTTAGGCTGGCCTAAATCTATATATTACCTTATAATGTATCATTTTGCATTTTCCACATACTGATTTAATTGAACAAAGTGCTTTGCCTTGGGAATAGAAGAAAAAAAAGTTATTTGTGTCATGTATTCAGCTAATAACTTAGTGTTGTTCTTCAATTTTTGAGAGATGGGGAATTTGCTAGACTGTGATTTGGTGTGTTTGAAGAGCCTTCTTTTTACACATAACTTTACTAAAATCAGTTCAGTGTAGATAAATATTCTATAAACTTTGTTAATTTTTTACTGTTATTGGTTGACTTTAGCAATGGCAAGTTTTTGTGCAAATTGTTCTACTCTTCTCAATGATGACCTCACTCGTCGCCTCCTGGTTACTACAGATGCATGTCTAGCGATGCTTCCAAGGTAAGAATTGATATTAATACCAGTATTAGAGTAAATATAGCTATACCATACAGTAGTAGAATATTTTTTGACAAGACATGACCATGGGGTGTTTCTATTTTATGTTAGTGCCTTAAAGTAATTTTAACTTAATTAACCATTTTAACTTAATCCAATAGATCATGTCTCTTTAAAATGCAATTTTGAGAGTGGGGGATTAAACATGTATTTCCACCCCATGAGAAAACTCTTCACCAAGGAATTACTTTTTTAGATATATTTTTTTCAATTACCCCATTGACAAATTGCATATTAAATTATGCTACAATGTACATTTGAGTGGATTTATGAAAACAGGGTTAATAATAAGTCGCTTCTTTTGCACCAAGTGAGCTACAGAACTTCATATTTTGACTCCTAAGGGCTCAGAAATCATGCCAAGGGATGAAACAAAACAAAGTAGAAGAAAACAATAAAGAAGATAAGAGGGTGGGGAAAAAAGAGATTGACATGCCATTGAAACTATTTTTATGTGGCCAGTCTACTTTGAAAAGGTTGGGCGTCGGTGTCCCCTAAATGGACAGGAACAAGAAATCTCAACACGAAACTGACACTAAAGCTGGGCCTTTGTGATTGATAACGAAAAACGCATGATTTGTGAATCATTATGGAAATTTTTTTTGGGAGGCATCTTTCTAGGCAAGTGAAAATTACACTGGGTGAGTGGATTTTGAGAGTCACATGCCCAAATGGTGAGTGCTGTCAAAATTTAGTTTCTAACCCTGTAAATGGACACTGGCTGACTGTCTAGGTCTAGCAATCTGATTAAGCTTTTCATACAAAGAAGAAGCTAATAATCCTGGTCCACAGAGAGTCTGAAGAAACCAGAATAATGTGCATTTGAGTGAGTTGCCTCTTTAGGCTGTTGTGATCTGTTAAGTTCTGTAACAGAAGTCCAAACTGCTCATCATTCATAAATCACCTTTAGTTAGGTGGGAAATAAAAATACATACTATGCCTCTTCATTTATGTTATTTTTATTTTGTTCAGTATGCCTCAGATCATCAAGCAACATGGGAATCACTTGAAAGCCAGTGCAGCTATTATGAGGTTAAGATTGTACTCAGTTCTTAGTCTTCTCCCGCCAAAGGTGTATGAAGGTAAAAGTGCTTAATATACACAGTTACATAGATATTATCTTATAATTTTGATGTAAGTTTAACTTGAGCCCCAATTATAGATGCCTTTGGTGATAAAATTCAATTAGATTTTAATTTCTCTCCATGTGATTGAATCATGATAAATGTATAATGCACATATCGTCATTGTCTCATGTTGCATCATGTAACCATTTCAGTGAGTGAACTGACATGTTACTTTGATTAAGTAACTACATGATGTATTGCTGCTGACACTACAAGTCAGTTTAAGAGCTTGGGTAGAGCAAGAAATGTATAATATTAGACCTGACCCTTGGAACCAGAATGATCTCACTGCTTTTTAACTGGGGTATTACAGCACTGGTCTCCTACGCAGGCATTCTTATGAGCTAGGAGGCTGACCAGAGGAAGATAATTATCTAATGAACATAACACATTCATTTACTACAAATGCATCAGTAGATACTCACAACAATGCCCTTACACCCTCTCTAAAAATAATAAAGATAAGACCAAGGCTGTTGACATTATACTTGGGGATACTTTAGATGATCTCAAAAAGCAAATAAAAAATAACTTCCCAGATGATCCAACAAGCCTAAACATGCATTAAACAAATAATCAACTAATTTTATTCACCTCTTCAATTCACAAAATTGCTCACAGAGCACTTTGATTCCATTTCTCTGTTACCTTGGCCCTTTCTTACTATCCAGAGTACGTACTTTTAATTTAAACTACTCACTTGGTGAGGAAAATTTATTGTTTCACCTCTGTGTTGAATATAATATCTTGAACTTGGCTACGACTTTGAAAACCTTAAGCATTGGTCAGTGGATTTGCAAAAAGTCTAAAAGGAAGTGAAGGAGTGAAGGAAGGAGCAAAGGAATGAAGGAAACTAGTTTAGCTCTTTAGTTGTTTGGGTGACCAGCAACTGTATGTATTTTTAATATACTTATTGTTTAATTAGTAATTAAGCTAATTTTACAGTTCAAATAAACCTTGTTGTTGTTGTTGGAAAGATTGAGTGAATCTCCCATCCATAGCTAAAAGCTAAATTTAAGGGTGTCTTAACAGGCTGTATTGTTGTTGTGGTAATCTGTTATAAGAAAAGGATGACCACAACTTGTTTACCAATGATTGGGCATTTGTGTGATACCATTATTGTAGCATCAGTGGTGATATTCATCCTTTAAAGTATAACTGTCAGAAAAGGTGCTGGAAAACTGTTGCCAGCCTCCTTAAGGTGTTTACTCTAGAGTAGATAGCCATGTACATTAATTTATTACGTTGTTTTCCACTGTAGGAAGCTTTCATTCCCTATTACGTGTGCTGGTTGCAGAGTTCACTTTGGCAGAAAACCCAGCTATGACAACTACATCTTTGCTGCGAACTGTCTGTCATAAAGATGATTCTATCCTTCTTGGTTCCTGGCTTCAGGAAACAGACCACAAATTTGTTGAGGAGCAGGTTTGTAGAAATTTGTTACAGACCTGATCAGTAGTAAGTATATATCACAATGTCAAGTAGAAATTGGCTGACTGAAAAGGTACATTGAGTGATTCCAGAAAATATCCATACTCACCCTAAGGAGGGTTTTTGGAAATTCTACAGGTGAGGGTGATCTTGAAAACGAAAACTTTTTAAAAGGAAATTGTGAACCAAAATGGGAATTTCCTGAGGGATGGGGGAGGTTCAAACCAAAAAATCTCCCATGGGAGGGTTGTGGATATTTCCTGGAACAGTACATTGAATGATAATAACTATATGTAGACCCCATTAAAAACACTGCAAACTGAATCTTTGATTTAACATGACTTGTAGGTTGTGACAATGTTAAACTGCAGAGATAAATTCATGAATCAATTTCTCTCATTTGGCAGGGGGATGGGGGTAGGGGGTGAGGGGGCAGAAATTCCATATATAGTACTGGTTGAGATTGGTGTTTTGTCGCACAGGGTTTAAAATCTAAATCTAAATCTAAATATTATTTCATTGGCAACATCCAGAGGACATCACGCCAACTCTGAAACATTAAAATGATAATAAAAACTAAAAAAAAATAAGATAATGCAGTTTTATAAAAGCCCTCAAATCTCAGTTTTCATTGGAGAAGTGACTCACAACTGACAAGGTAACACAGGCTTAGGAGGTTCAGGATTGTTTACTGTAATGATACTCAGCACATGGAGTTTACGAACAAAATTTCACATGGCATGATGTGAGGCTATGAAAAGATGATAACACGGGTGCCAATTGACAGTTTTCAAGCAAAAATTGACTGCAAAAGAACCAAAATAGAATTGAATGTTCATCACTTACATCTCTTCAAGCTTGTCTTCTCATTGCCATGACAACTTAAGGTGGCTCTTAGGGTCATCGGGTCCTTGACTGTGCAAGTCTTTGAATGAAACGTTATTGGTTGGAAATACTTTCTTGAATACTTTCTTGAAAAGTGTGGGAAGCCTTGTTTCATTATTGCAGGTGTAAAATTGTAAATGTCTACTTTTCTAGTTATTGTAGGACATGTACACATACTTCATAAAGTAACTCTCCACCAGAAATAATAAAATAAAGTGATTGGATATTGTAAGCCACGCAATGTTTTTAAGCTATTTATTTAGTTAGCTTGTTGTGAAACCTTTGAAACTAGGTTGACAGATAATTATTTAAAATAAAAGCAGCCTGTTTTCTTTTCAGCTGCAAACCAACAGTGCATCAGGTTCAGGATCTCTTGAGCATGATCCATCGTGTATATTTGAACAATGTCCTGAGGTAGGAGATGTTTTTTCAGCATCTAATGTAACTATATCTCCAATTGAGAACAAGTCACTGTGGTTATTGTTGTACTTAAAGCGGTACTCAAGGGAAATACGTTGGAGTCACACAAGGTCTGATACTACGGGCAACCATAATTCCCCTGGACAAGTGTTTTCGATTTTAATGCAAAATTCACAGTTAATTAAGACAATTTCTTAAAACCCTTACTAGTGTTACCACTTAGATGTGCAGCAAAAGAGTCACAACCACAGAATGTCTAACATTATTAAAAGTGGTCGTATTATGTTTGTAAGAATCTGTCCATAAACCTTGTTGTCTTGCCTATTAATATCTGTGAAGGCACTGAGATTGGGTAGACACAACATGTTTAATGCAGTCATTCTTGATTCAGATTCAGCACACTGACCAATGGATTTAATAATTTAAAAACAGAACCTATTTCTCTATCAAGAGTTGTTTGTCTATTTTAGGGAGAAGATGTTCCTGGTCCATTGCCATTAGGAGTGGCTGTTATTGATGAATCTATTAAATTGTTTGGAACTGTGTTTCCATTTGTGGCTCAAAAACATCGCAGCCAGTTATTAGCTCATTTTGCTGAGTGCATACGGCAGGCAAAGTCTTCAAGACAACAAGCTATACAAACAAACATATTGACAGCCTTTCTTTTCTCTCTGAAGGTAAGTTATGTCTGTGTTGGTATCTCTGTGGAGCAGAAATCAAATCTCAGCAGCAGTTCTCCACCGTGATCATCTGTACAAAAGGAATGTTTGTTGGAGACATTAGCTGGTCTAATTTCTGTTTTTAGAGATTTGTACTTTATGAATTAACAAATGTGTTGATTTGAAGCCAAAAAGTTTACATAGATTACTGTATTTATGTAAAACTGAGGTGTTTGCAATCATTACTGAAACTATGCTAGTAGTAAGTATTGATTATTTTCTTTAATGAAACTTAACTCAGTTTAGCTTGGAGGAAAAAAGCATTATATTAAGGACAGAGAAATAAGAGCAGAGATCAATTCAGTTTGTTAGTTAAGCTGAATGCATGGACAATGTTTTGAAGTATAAACAGCGCAGTATAAGCTCTACCTTCAAAATGTCCCCTCAATCAACCAAATACTCACATTTTTGGAGTATAAGAAAGCCTTCATTCTGGTACTGTTTCTTTTCACATTAAGAATTTGTTTTGTGCTCCTCCAAATTAAATGATTTCCAAATAGCCAACATGTTGCAGTAGCCTATCATGACATATAGCTAACCATAACTAGCCATTTGTCAATACCTAGTTCAGGTATACTGGACTAAAACGATGCACAATATGTGCCCTTGTTTCATGAGTTCTGGTGATTGTTATATGTGTTGTTTATCAGGGTATTGCAGAGTCAAAAACTGGTGTTGGTGATGAGGATGTTAGGAACACTGCTGTTAATTTAGTTATGGTGAGTCAGGGTCCTACGCTGTTTAAACTGAACATTTCTTCTAAGATTAGATTAATAAAGTGTATTATTGTTTGTCTCACGATGTAGTCACTTGAGATGTAGATCGCGACGTTTCGACTGCTTACTGCTAGTCTTCTTCAGGTGAGGTCGACTGATTGCACGGTATCATTTATATCACAAAGGTCGGCTGTGATTGGTACATTTCGATCCTCCTACTGTTCCATTGTCACTGAACTAACATCCATCTACATCTCAAGTGACTAAATCGTGAGACAAATGATAATACACTTTATTATTGCATCTACCACGATGAATAACAACAACCTTTTCCTCGACATTAAGATTAGATTGTTTTGAAGTGAATATGCCTTTTACATCGTTAAGGTTAGCAACAATAATTAATGCTAATTGCTTTTTGGTGGCCACTGTTTGAATGTTAAAATAATGTATTTCTAGGTATGTAAGCTTAACTAGTTTTTAGGGCAATTTTTGTGTGTTGTTTGTGTGTGAGCCTTAATTGAAGTAAAAATTGCAATATTGTAATTCCCCTTGTTAAGCCTAGGTGCTTTTTGGGAAAATAATGACAAATGTGTTTAAATAATAAAAAAGTTTAATTTGTATCTCTTTTTTTCAGGATGCTGTAACAAATCCTGACCCCATTGTTCGGTGTGCTGCTGGTGAAGCTTTAGGACGTATTGCACAGGCTGTAGGAAGCCCTGTTTTGACATCAAATATTACTCAGAAGATCTTTGATCAGCTGAAAGCAGCAAGGGATGCTTTGTCTAGGACTGGCTACTCTGTAGCTCTAGGTTGTATTCATCGTTATGTGGGTGGGATGGCATCAGGGCATCACTTGAACAGTAGTGTCAGTATACTTCTTGCCTTAGCCAAGGACAATTCCTCCTCGTTAGTACAGGTGTGTTACACAACAACATTTGGTGGCTGTACATGTAAGTGTAAATAGTAAATTAAATGTTGCATTGTAAAGTGCTGAAATCCACACAAAAATAAAAACACATGGTTTTGGCTTCCACTGCCCAAAACATTATCTGTTTCATATTGATTTTACATTGTGGCACTTAGCTGTTTAAATATTGAGTGATTCTGCCTTTCCTCTGGCTGGCAGGTATGGGCATTACATGCCTTAGCTCTCATTGCTGATTGTGGTGGGCCAATGTTTAGAAGCTATGTGAATCCAACTTTAGAACAGGTTGTCAATCTTGTGCTGACTGTTCCTTCTGCTATAACTGAAGTTCACCAATGTCTTGGAAAGTGCTTAGCAGCTCTTATAACTTCCATTGGACCTGAACTGCAAGGTAAACATGTTTTTACAATCCCCTTGGGCTAGATATAAATTTTTATTATATAAACACCACTGAAATACCAGGATTTTTCCTTTTACTAAAATATTATCTTCATTGCACGCAGTGAAGCTACTATTTTTATCTTTCACACTGTGAAGATATCATTCCTTTTTGATAACATTTTTCTTTTGTCCCTTCAGCTACACTTAAATTTGTTGATGTAAGATCGAAACATCTTTGGATCTTCTTCGGTCATCTTCGGCAATCTTCGGTAGTCTTCAGAAAATGTTCAGAAGGCGTTCGTCTGGTCTTAGGAACAATTTTGGGAAATCTTTGGAAAGTGGTCGCAAATCTTCGGAAAATCGTCAAAAACGTCGTCATTAGTGTGCTTATATAATAAACAGAATATTACATGCTCACTTGTGGATACGAATTTTATCTTCTTGAGTTCAACTCAATATCTCACTCATTCGCTGCACTCACTCGTGAGATATCGAGTTGAACACTCAAAGATAAAATTCTTATCCATGCGCGGGCATATAATATCCTCTATATATTAAGGTCGTCGAGGAGACATAATGATTTGTGAATTTCACTCCATTTCCATATATTAATTTATCATTACTTCTTCTCACCAAGGTGAGTAAATTGATAACAGAGAGCTTTTGTGGAATATCTTACAAAGCAGACTCCAGAGTCTTCATAGAGCTTGCAAAGTTGTGCTGTCATAGTCCAATGATGCATGCTTCTGACTCGTGGAAAGCTAATGTGCTTCTTCATCATTTCCATTGGCAATGCTATGTAACGAATAGATTCCATGTAGTTGTGTGTCTGTTCAGTTATTGATATCAGATGATGTCAAAATGTGGTAAGAACAAAAAAGTGCCACACAAGCGACAGCTGAGTGCGTTTTGTTCTTACCACACTTTGAAGTCTTCTGTGATCAATTGCTGAACAGATGCACAGCAACATGGAATCTATCTGTTTTCTAATATAATGAAGCAAAACCAAATTTAAATTACGTCATTTATACATCTGTCCTCCAAGCGATCATAAGTAAGAACAAATTAAAATGCGAGAATAATATAACTTATTATTATCACTTTGCCGGGCATTGTGGCGCATTTTGCGGGCTAAAATTGAGAATTTGGCAGGCTAAAATGTATTTTAGCCCGCTGAATAAACCAATGAAAACTGAGAATCAAACAATCATATGATGTAAGCAGCCAATCAAAATCAAAAAGCCATTACAATGTTTGCACTGCTATTCTTGTAGCGAAGCATAGGTGAAAGAAATAGCAGTGCCATTTCCAATGAACAAAGCTTGCCATTCCACATAATGGATAGCTCAGCCTCACAGATAGTGCTTGTTCGGACATTCTTAGTCGTCCATTTCTTTCAAGAGAAGCTTCAGATGTCAATACCGCCTGTAGTAGCTCCATGGCCAGTGGCGAAGTGCATGTAAGTTTTGTGGCGTCAAGCCAAACGCACTCAGTTCAACCAACTAAGCTTAATTATTGTACAATTAATTTCAACACTTACAAACAAGCTTTATCAAACTTTCATTTCACGTCTTTTATAAATTTTGAAAACTAAAATGGCAAGATTTTGTAATTTCTAGCCAGCTTCGCTTGATGTATTGTGTATTTTCATTGAGGGAAAATAAAAGCCATTCAACTTGTAAATGCTCACGTAATTGTTCAGACTGTTTTGGTGTCATTTTTTTCAGTTTTCTCAATGCCCACCAAAGTGATAATAATAGTAATACAGTTTATGTTCTTGGGCATAAATATGTTTTGGGCCCTTCTCAGCTCATTTTAGCCCTCCCTAATGGCTCTGGCTAAAATGAGTCTGAGTCGGGCCCAAAACATATTTATGCCTGCGAACATAAACTCTATTGTTTTATTATAAAACCAATTGATTCATGCTTTTAGTTGCACATCATAACGTTATGATGCTCTTGAGAAATTTGGAGAGCACTCAGCTGAGTCTCAAGCAACTCTTACACTTTTTTCATGCTCTCCAAACTTCCCTCATGCATCATAACTCAATGATTCATGCTAAAGCTTGAACTAATATTGATAATTGGAGCCCGAGATGGACATGGCACTCTTTTTTTGGTTGTGGCAGTTCTTGCATTTACTCCATTCTATTCTGATAAGCTACTGTGCTTACAGTTTCTTAAGAACATTTTGTATGGGATCAGTTATGAAGCCCAACACTTGGATGCAAGCCTGACAGTCCTCTTTCACATGTAATGTAGATACAAAAATCCTAAATACTGGATCTCGTGTCTGATATTATATGATATGAAGAGAGATGTACTTTTTGTGTGGGCGAAGCTCACAATAAGTTGGCAGCTGAGAAGTTTTATTTGTCAAAATTGAAACAAGTTGTCACACAACACAAAATGTGGATTGAAGTGATGCTTTGGTTTACGCAAATGATGTGCTACAATGTGTATATTCCATTACTTGTAAGGCAAACTTTACGAATGATGTGGAGAAAAATCTAAGCCCTACAATTTTTGATGTCCTTTATCAGACTGTCATTTTCTGCAGATGAGAGCATGCGTGAAATGACATGGCACTGCAACTAAACATTTTATGATTTGGGAGAGAAGCTATTTCTAAATGTAAACACTATCGAAAATTACTTGTGAGTGGCTTCCAGAATAACTAGCTTTTGTTTCAACAAACTTTGAGGTAAAACACTTGCCATGATATCGTTCTACCACAACACATTGGATTTCAAAACAATTATTGCAGAGGGATTATTTAAGTTCAAGATAAGAATACCACTCCAAATAACTAAAATACTATTGTCTAATTAAAATTTCTCAAATTATTATAACTGTGATTGCACAAATGTCATTGTCATTGTTTTGTCATTCAAAACCCTACTGTGTCAATTAAAACACAAAACTATAACAATATCATCTGATATCCACAAGGCTGAGATCTAAGAAAAATTACAGGGAGCCCAAAGGTTCTTTACCATGAAATCCCTGGTGCCCAACACTTAAGCTTATATGAAAAAAGTAAGTTTTTCAGTGGCCCAAAGACAAAAGTTAGCTGTCTGTGGCACCTTGGCTCTTCTAGAGCACAGCCCTGATCCAGGTCAAATGTGTATCTTTGTAAGACTCAGCCTTTCTCCTGCAAATTTAATCCATGAATATCTCCTCACTCTTATCTCATGTTCTCATTGGTAAAACAGGTAATTGTGGGTTCACCCTTCCCTTGTTGTTTTTAGAACTACTCGGATAAAATCGATACCCAGGGATTTTATGTAGCACAATATTTTTATTTTGCTTATAATAAACCGAAGACCTTCATTGATGTTAAAGAGCTCCCTTCCTCTAAAGGTCTTGCACAACTGAACATACATCGCATCAAAAAAGGTGCAGCACTATGACAACTCTATCTGTACAGAGTGACATAATTATGGCACTAAAAGACTCACATAAGCAGACTACCTATTGTCTGAACACACTAACAAATATAGCCTGTGTCGTAGGCATAAAGGAGGAAGGGGTAGGGATTGGGTGGCAAAAAACATGAGGTAGTGGGGAAGGAACAGCACCCTATCCTGATAAAGAAGCCCGTTTTCAATAAGCAGCCCGATTTAATATCCTTACCATGTAAAATTCAAAAAAGCAACAAAAAAAAATGCTATGCCCACACAAGTATGCAGTGTGGACCTATTTTTAGGGTTGTACTTGAATAAAATCTGCATAATGAAAATTCTTCCAAGCCCTCTATTAATTGTCATTGTATTTTTTGAAGTGAACAAATATTTTCAATTTTAGGAACATCAAAGTCCATTAGAGATCTCCGCCTGTCATGTGTAGTGTCCTGTGCCATTATGCAAAACCATCCAGATTCATTAGTACAGGCAGAAGCAATCAACTGCCTTCAACAGCTTCATGTGTTTGCTCCCAGTCACATCAACTTGGGAACTGTTGTTCGTAAACTGTGTGTTAACCTTTCAAGTCCTCACTTGTTGTTGCGACGGGCCACAGTTGCTTGTCTCCGTCAGCTGTCTCAGCGAGAGGCTAAGGAAGTTTGTGAACATGCATCTGCTGCTGGGGAAGAACTAAATAAATGGCAGCAGTCCAGTTATGCTGTTGTCATAGGAGACAAAGGCTTGGAAGGTATGAGTTTTTAAGTGCTTTTCATGCACACCCTCCTGCTAGTATTTCCCAAAGAAGTAAAATTTATGTTAGTCCACTTAATTTAACTTTGAACAACATTTTTTGTCTCACCATCATTAAGAATGGAATGGATTTTAATGTATTACTTATAATTATGCAGTGTGATACCAAGCGAAGTCTACAACATTGTTTTGGTTGTTATCCAAAATGGATACAGTTGATGTTCGCCTTGCGACTACTCTCATGCACAACCAGCTCTTATTATGACCACCTGTGAAATTCACTCAAACTTTGTAATGAAAAGCTCTCGTTAGCGACCACTCCCATTAGCAACCACAACCACTTTTGGCAATTACCAACTGGTGTTTTCCTTTGATTTTGAGCTCTTGTTGGGAACTGGCCTAGAGTCTGATTTGCATAAGTCAACACTTAGATTAAACAAACAACCACTTCTTGATCAAATTTACAATGATATATCATAAGTGTTGATCACTTGTTGGCAAGGATCTCAAATCAAAAGTTCAAGATGATTTTTGGCTGTTAACTTAATATTTACAATTTACAAGTACACGAAAGAACATATATTTGAACTGCAGAGAAAGATATCAAGTCATAACTGATCATCACAGTTATTCGCACAACTCAAGATGGAATCCACCAGAAGTTCAAGTAACAAGTGGACAAAAACCTAGTACCAAGATTATTTACATTGTAATGCAAACTTCTGTACGACTGTTTTAAATAGCTTCTAAAAAAAATCATTTCTAGCAACACCAAACATCGGAAACGAATATTGAACTTCATATGAAACACTTGAAAGTACTGGTGAAATGAAACTGATGATGAAATTTTGCCTGTGTTTGCACAAGTTCTCTGAACTTTGAAATTTATTTTCTCTCATTCCCATGGGAAATTGTTTTCGGTGTTATTTCAGGCAATTATTTATGTACTTGGCTTTAAGAAAATGTAAAAATGACTATAAAATACTTAAAATTATTCTGGTACCAGATTTTTTCCACTAAAACCTGAAATTGTTCGATTTTCTATTGGATTTCGTCTTAAGCAGTTGTGAAATTTAAGCCTGACAAAAATTCAGGCCTGAATGGGATTCGATTCCTCTGCAATGCCAATGCATCCACACAGGATGCACTGGTATCACAGAGGTCATGATTAAAGCACTCGTAAGCGACCAGACTCTATTGATCCATCACATGCTTGCTTAAGGAGCGTGCTCTCATAAGTAACCAGCTCTAGTTATAATTCCCAAGGTGGTCACTTACAAGAGCTTCAACTGCATTTAGAATGAGGCATCTTAGATTAAGAATACACTCATACACAAGGTGTTTTCTATTCCATGTAGGTGCATTATTTGGTATGTTGGACACAGAAACAGACACTCGCATGAGATCGGATATTCATGACACATTGAACAGCATGTTGCAGACTCTTGCATCTCATAATCTGACACACTGGTTGGGTTTGTGCAGGGATGTGCTATCTGCATCTAAAAGCAGCAAAGGAGGAAAGGGTGGAGATGTTCAGAACAGAGAGGAAGAGGAAGGTTGGAATATTGCTGTAAAATAATATTTAAGGTTTAATAATGTTTGTTGCACTCTTTTAACACTAGCAATCATTCCCTTTTCGAACTTATGTACATTATTTGTATTTATAATATAGACAGGACCCTGCACATGCTTTGATTGGTCAAAAACCCATGTTTTATCAGAGTATAAATGGAGAAAAAATGTGTTTTATTGTTTTTCGCCGCATTACCTCTATTCATTACATTTCTACACTCAAGAAATATAGAAAACACTCGCCTGCAGCTCATGTTTTCTACATTTCCCTCGTGTTCTCAAATGCCCATTGTGTTTTATCACAGTGTAATACACGGCTTAGGCTTCTTCATTTGTTAAATATGAATTTGAATAAACATGGATGTATTTATTCAATACTGTAAGTTCACTAATTATACTTTTAACCAGCCATGTTGCATGTCAGAAGCACTATTTATCGTTAGTGAATGTAATTTGTAGAAGTTTGCAGAAACAAAACCACACTCAACACCTAAGTAATAACTAGATGCTCCAAGAGCATTTACTGGGGCTCTGTAGTGCAATTACATTTATTTCATTTTAATTTTAATTTTAAGGTAACGTTTTTAGTTGTATTAGTGCTGAAAAGCCCCCAGCAGGAATGCTAATAAAATTTGTATTGCATTGTAAATCGTCCTTTACAAGTGAGCTTATTGAACACATTGAAACAAATAAAAGAATCATATTTACTACAATATTCAAGGTGCTTCATTGAATATCCTCTTTATCCAACTGCATGTCTATTTGCATGTTGTTTGCCTCATCTTTGAAGTCTTGCTTATGACGATTCTTGATTTTGTCAACATCTGAGGATTTTTAAGTCAGTAGTCATAGTTCTTTGTCAGTGTTTTCATTGTTTGAACTCATACATATACTGGCTCATTTGTTGTCTTGTGAGAACAAGCATGAACTTTGCTTATTTGGCTTTCAAGAGATATAATTTGTCGACTGACCTGTTCCAAAAACGATCAACATCTTTTGTATGTGAGATCATAGTTAATAGAGGGGATGGTTATGAAGCCAAGCAAACATCAGAGGAGCAAACAAAGATGCCAAGATTTATGTTGGAATGTCGACAACTGTACACAATCTTTTGTTTTGCATTCATACACTATGCATGAATTACTTAACCAACACATTTCTATTGGTTAGTTCCTCAGTACAGAGGAAACGGCTATTCTGTTTTGTGCACTGTCGAGGCCAAACAAGTGAACAAAAACATACAACAAAGATCTCTGTCAGTTTTCATAACCATTACCCTCTATTAACTGTGTTGAGATGAACCAAACAAGACAGCTTCGGATTGGCTAATTATAAATTTTGGTATCGCGCTGGTGAATATCGTCCATGTCCTGTATTTGGGTTGTGATCCTTACTGCAATACAGACCAAACCCTTATTACAAATGCGACCCTTATTATTTTACAGTCGTGCCTTCTAACATATATTCAATAACAAAAACTTCATCTTGACTTCTGTTATGTCAGTAGAGGCTGATGAGGCAGGTGAAGGTGAAGCTGATGAAGGTGGAGGCATGACAGCGGGAGAAGCTCCTGAGGAAACACACCCTACAGTGGATCCACGCTGGCCAACCAGAGTGTTTGCTACTGAGTGTATCAAGAAGATTATTATGGTCTGTCAATCAAGAGATGCTCACTTTGATTTAGCCCAGGCACGTACAACCAGACAGGAGACGGGAGAAGGTGAGTTAAGGTGAAGTGCTCCCCCAACAAATAATGTAGTCCACAATGGGAAATCCAGTGGCCATCTGTGGCAAGTACATGTCAAGGCTGTTGGATAATTAGATAGATAATATTTACTAGAGCTTTTAATCATGCAAAAACAGATAGTCATTTAGCTCTCAAATAGGACTTTGTAGACTTTATGAGAACTTATTTTTATTTTCTCTGCCAGATTTTCTCGTCATGCATCTTCAAGAGCTGGTCAGAATGGTATTCATTGCAGCTACAGCAATATGTGATCAATTGAAGCTGGCAGGACTGAGCACTTTACAGGTATACACCAGACACTGCAATGCTGTAGCAAGAACGTTACTGGAGCTAGAATTAAACCTCATTCCAAGGCATTTGCTCTATTAGCAAGACTAGTGTTCTTTAATGAGAAGCTTCAGGGAAACAGGGAAATTGACACCCACACATGTGGTCACTTGAGAAAAGGGGAGTTACAACTTTATTGCAATTAATTGTTTTCTGTTTTTAGCCCATTGACACCTGTCATCACCTTTGATCAAAATTGACATCAACTATACTCAAGTTCTGTGGGAGGAAGAGATCTTTCCACTGATAGATCAGAGTGATTGGGTCAATTGATTTTGAAACATACTCAAAAATGCTTAGAAATTTGAGTGAAAAACACGGAGCAAAATTTCCCTCAACTACACTTGGCTACTCCTTGTTCAGAATATCCTTTCTCGATGGTGCTTTCTTGGGAATTCTTGAACTGGAAGCAAGCTCAGTAGAAGATCAACAACTGCAGCAAAAAGATAAGAAAAAGAGAAAAAGGAAAGACAAAAAAAAAATTAGAATAGAAAAAAAAAACGAAAAGCCTTAAGATGTAGGTCACTTTTTCAAAATTTTGATTTCTGCTTATGCCCAAGCAAAAATCTCCTAAAACGCAATGCTAATGGAAAGAGAGGCATGCTTTCATGTTGAGTAGATTGAAACTAATTTAGCTCATATCCAGGTCGAAAATGCCAAACATGTCTAAAAATGTGTTTTCCCAAAAATCTCCAGGTGTCAGTGGGTTAAGATTTGTGGTGAACTGATACGAACTTTTGTTCCTGCTTTGCACATTTTGTCTAGGATGTTGTCAATGTGTTTGCTTCAGTTTTGGACCCTGATTATCCAGGTCATGTTATACTGGAACAGTTTCAAGCTCAGGTGAAGGGATTTTGTTTTATCATAAATTATAGCAAAGAAAATATATCTAGTTTACAACATATTATAAATGTCATAGGCTATTAGGTGGGGAAGTTTCTGTCCTTTCTTAATACGAGTTGTATTATTGACAGGTTGGTGCTGCCCTGCGACCAGCATTTGCATCTGATATGCCATCTGATGTTACTGCCATGGCATGTGAGGTATGAAGTTTAAATTGAACAAAATTTACTTGTGTTCTCTCTCCTTGTTACAGTACTGATATAGCTAGTTATTGGTCTCTCTTGGACATGACGGTCACAATTTTATGTAGTTGCTGTGAGTTTTGAAGTTCATATTGGACATATAAGATGGAACTTGCAAATGTGGTGCAGGCTTGTTGTATTTTATATACTTTAAGTTATTTGATTGTAACATTATTTTATCTATTTTAACATTAACTATATTACTCTCCTTCTACAGTATTTACTCTTTTAGGACTATTTTACATGTATATGATTACCATATAGATAAACCCTCAATTTTTTAAAATATATTTGTTTATTTATTTACTTATTTCTTTATTATTTCAAGTGGTTTTCAAAGCTAAATCTTATAGACTCTGAAATAAAGTTGCCATGTATGTACCAGTATGTGTATATGTATCACAAAATCTTAGATTTATTCGTTGCAGCTGTTACATCTTTAAACAGATTTCTGTGATAAGCAAGTTAGAGTAATTATCTGATTCAAAAAAAGTTCTTTAAAGCTCTTTAAATAATTAAGTCTGTTTCCAGGTGAAGTTACTTGTTATGTAAGACAAAAAGGCTGTAGTTTTGCTGTTTAATTAGTTTATCCTCACAGTGTAATAGGTACGTGCAGGCAGAGGAGGAAAAAAATGGAAAAAACAAGGACTGTACTCAGGGCAAGCTTCAACTCTGTTCATTAGGAATTTGTGTTAATTGTATGGTCACCTGCACTGAAAAATTTAATAATAAAACTTTCCTCACAGGTCTGTAGTGCATGGATTGCTAGTGGTATTGCTAGAGACTTGAATGATGTACGACGAATTCAGCAACTCTTAGTCACTAAACTGTCAAAAGTAGGGCAGGGCAAGGATTCTTCTCTACAGCTGTACAATGAGGCAGCTACTACAATGGAGAAGTTGGCTGTGCTGAAAGCTTGGGCTGAGGTAATGCTAATTTCTACTTAACAAATAGATTCCATTTTGCTGTGCATCTGTTCCATAATAGATCACAGACGATGTCAAATTGTGGTAGGAACAAAAAAGTGGCTCACAAGCCGTTAGGTGAGTGTGTCACTGATGTTCTTACCACATTTTGGCATCTTCTGTGATCTACTAGTGAATGGACACATGGCAACATGGAATATCTTTCTGTTTTATCTAGTAAAGAAAAATATATTAATGGCATCGTCTATGTGACTGTCCTGCAATAGATTATAAGGACAAACCAATCAAACTGTTAGAATAAGTTGACTTATATAAAAATATGTATGCTAGCCATGTAGATTTGCTTAAAAATAGGATCTGGAAAACTAGTGTGGTCATATGGATTGAGAGACCAATCTGAAACCTGATTCTTGAAACTCTTATTTCTGTGGTCCATTGTCTGATTCCATGATTGCAGAAGACCATAGTGGCTGAAAATTTCTTCTAAACTGTCAATTACTTGCAGGGTAGAGGTAATGATGTGTGTTAATGCAATCTTGTAATTATAAGGTAGCAGTCCTGGTCCTTGGTGTAGCAGAGGAGAAAAATATTTGGTTTAAATAGCTGAAAGAACTGGTTTGAACATTGGATATATAAATATCACATGACGTGAAGCAATGGATCTGGAATTTGCAGAAGCTTTTGCATGTCTCAGAGCAGTCTGAAAAGCAAGAGTTCTCTCCCTCAAGACAAAGTTGAATATATTTAACTCTCCTGTAAAATCAGTAATTCTTTATGTGTCGTGAACCTGGTGACTCACCATAGCTCTGCTCAGCAAAGTGCAGACATTTGTTAACAAGACTCTGCCAGATATGTGGTGTCTTCTGGCTGAATGTGATGAATGAAGGACTGCAGGAAACAACAGGACAAGAAGATACAGGAGCATCAACAAAACAAAGGAAGTGGAAATGTATTGGTCATACCTTGAGGAAGGAGAGGCTATTAAGTGAAATCCTCTGAGGAGGAGAAAAGGGGGAAGACCGAAACAAATATGGAGACTCACAGTTACAGAAGAGCTTGTGAGGATTTGAAAGGCCTGGGGTGAGGCCAGACCGATGGCAAAAAACAGAATCTGATGTAGAGCTACGGTGGAAGCCCTGTGCCTCATGAGGGGTGAAGGGGATTGAGTCACTCGGTAGTTGGAATTTAAGAAGGATAAACATTCTGGCCTTCTGGCTTTCAGTCTAGGAGAGGCCTCTTCCTGAGCCAGAATGGTCACAAATATGATATCATTGTTGTCACATCTGAAATCAATTGTTAACACCTATATGGAATGGACTACACTAATCTTTTTAAGTTTGATGTTCTTTTGTGGCTGACTGCATGGTTAACACAACTGAAAGTGATTTTGTTCAAAAATTATCTATTTTGACTTCTGTGGTTTCTCACTTGTCTCCTCAAATAGGTGTTTTTTTTTTCAATTTTATTTCATTTACACTGCGTAACTATATTACAATTACAGATAACCTACATTGTAAAGTTTACAATTTGCAACACAGTACTAAGATCTGATAATTTGCCACATTACTAGTTTATAATTATCACTTACAAAATGGGTCTTTGCTCTAGGGGCTTCACCAGATCTAAGCAGGCCTTCTTGACTACTGTAAGATTATAATAACCTCCTAACATTCTTCACCCCTTTCTACTTCCTCTGACATGGATGTGAGGATTGGACCACAAGAGTCAACGTTGGCATAGTAGTTACTGTGAAATTCAAAGAGCTGTGAACTCTTTGATTTGATTTTGACATGTTGATTGTGTAGCCACCAATCAAATACGAGATAAAACTGCAAAAAAGCAGCAAATTAAGGGTCTCTCTCATTCCATGACAAAACTACCCTTTGATTGCTTCATCTTCATAAAACCATTGTTACCATCCAGTTTTCACTTTACAAAACCTTGCAACCACTTTGCAACCTAAGACAGGATTTTATTCTTGTTATGAGTATCAGAAAATACACATCTGCTCGCTTCAAATTTAAGAGTTTATTGCAGTACTTTTACACCACACGTGGTCCTCAAGATCATGCGACAATACCTTACACAGGACAACCAACTTATCATAACATCCCCCTTCTTAAGCTATTTGGCTGTCTTAATGAGATTATGCTAATACAAGTGAAAACTGGAACAAGAAGTTAACAACTCAACTGTAGATGAATCTACAATACAACCCTTTTACATAACATAATCCTTATGCCAAACCGCAACAGATTTAACCCGAGTAGAGCGACGTGGAGCCAAGGAAGCATTAGTACTGGGTGGGTCTGGTTCCAGGTTAGCATCTGATNTACAGACCCTCCAACAGTTCATTGTTTTCATGCTCCTCTACTTCCATGTGACGAACTCTTCCTTCTTCCGTGGCATTCTTCAATTTGAAGCAGCACTGAGCATAGTGGTTTTTTCCATTGCATTTGGGACACGTGGCTCCATAGGCCGGACAATTTCGCCTGTCATGAGACACTGCATAGAATTTGCATTTCATTATTCATCGCGAGTCTTCGTTTTTGGATTTTCCTGTGTCCTCCGGTGGCTCTGTCCTCTTTACGGTGTCAATGCTACCCGTCTGAGTGGTTGGTGAGATTGAAGATTTTCGACTGTTCCCTAGATTGTTCCGTGATTCTGCATAATTTGATGGCTTTCTCGAGTGTCAAATCCGTCTCCCGTAGCAGTCGCTCTCGTAGTTTGGGATCATTTATGCCCACCACAATCTGATCTCGTATCAGAGAATCCTTAATCGCTCCGAAATCGCAAAATTCAGCTCTTCTTCTGAGATCTGTGACAAATGTGTCAAACAAGCGATCTTCTTGGATGGTCATTCTGAAGACGTATTGTTTGTAGGTTCTATTCTTCCGAGGAACACAATACATTTCCAGTGCTGTTAAAATACCTTCAACAGTCCTTTCCGTGACCTTTCCGGGAATGTTTGGTAGAGTTTTGAGCACTCATCTTGCTTTGGTCCCGAGGATAGTTTGGATAGTTGCTATCTGTGTGGCATCGTCCTTTTCGTGAAGGCCACTCGATATCCGATACAATTCCCATGCTTCCTTCCATTCCTTCCACACATCTGAGAGATTGAGACTATCAATATCCAATTCCGAGGGAGGTTTGATATGTTTCATGCCGGAGTTGGTAGTCAGAAAGGTTTCTTTTAAAGAGATCCTGGTACCATGTTATGAGTATGAGAAAATACACATCTGCTCGCTTCAAATTTAAGAGTCTATTGCAGTACTTTTACACCACATGTGGTCCTCAAGATCACGTGACAATACCTTACACAGGACAACCAACTTATCATAACAATTCTCAACTGGAACCCTTCGTAAATAAGCTTTGCCTGGAAATCACCACATAGAAATGGCACGAAAAGTGGGGAGCCTGAAATTTCCATACTAATATTTCACATGTAGGGCTATTTTTAGTGTTGCTCTTTTGGTTGGAAGAATGTCTGCTGTCACAAGTTTGAGACAAATTTTCTTTTTCATCACGAACACAGATTCAAAATTCATTGTGTTGAAGATGAGCAAAATTATCATACATGAGTGCATTGTGAAAGGATGTTGTATCTGAATGGTGCTGATCTTGCCTTCAAATTTTGCTAAGTCATTAGAAAATGCGTATGGTGCATGAATTAGATTATGCCTGTTGTAGCGGCTCTCCAAGCTTCAGTCTTTCCCTGCTACATTTCCACCAAATCCTTGAGTATTTTTTCTTCCTCCTGGTACTTTTATTGGTAGCTCTTTTTTTACCTAATATATTGGTTTATTTAATGAAACCCATAATTGTGGTACACAATACGGTCAACTTTAAATTTTAATGTAGGAAAATCTTGTTATGGTCGGTATCACAGATTATTAAGGTAGTATATTGTTTACATAAAGAGAATATTCTACTCTTTATTTATTTTGCTCCTTACCCTCATTTTTTTCCGAATCTTCTCACTTTCCATGGAAATTGATCTTTCTAGTTTAGAGTTATGAGGATTCTTTATAATTTTTAACACCAAATATAGCAACGGATGAAGTTGAATATAGAAGAGCTGTCTGGTTTTGTAGCCTTAGGCTGCAAGTCAGTGCATGCAGTCACTCGAATTTCCAATGTGTTTGCACAAATAGAGCAGGTTAAATTAGTAATTATACAACTACAGGGAAACAGGCATTTTTTTGAAGTAAAAATGATCGAAGTGTGGTTTTGTGACTTATGGAGCCCCCTTTAATTTGTTTACTTGCATTGCGGTTTTATTTCACATCTGATTGGTAAAGGTAAAGGTAAAGGTAAACTTTATTTAGTCAGGGTGGCCCATTCAGCAACGAGGCTGATATCCAGAGGGGCCCTGGACTAAAAATACAATGGTTAAAAATACAAGACATTGTGATAATTTAAAAATACAAGATAAAATTTAAAAAATACAAGATATAAATTTAAAAATACAAGTAATAATTAAAAGTATAGAGTATAAACAATCATGCAATAATTTATAAAAATCTAGTTCCTATATAATTTAAAAATTGTAGGCATCTATTGAAACTTTGAAAGAAGAAAGTGACTCGGCGTTTTAAATGCTACGGGGTAAGAGGTTAAAAAAAATCGAGCCTGAATATCTAAAGGTTCACTTTGCAAGGCTAAGTTTGGGTTTGGGCAGGTGCAAATCTGTTCTTCTGCAAGTATTGTAGTTATGCATGTAACTACAATGGTAGTGCATTGCATAACTACAATGGTTATGCACATAACTACAATTATGGTGGCTACATAATCAACATCTCAAAATCAAATCATGGTGTTTACGGCTTTTTGACTTTCACAGTAAAGAAATAAAAGTTCAAGAGAAAAATGGAGACTTTAAAAAAAAAACATTATTTGAACCCTGCAGATTTATTGTATACATGTATTACATGGCATACATGTAATTTGGATAAGATTCTAGCACTAGGCATAAGTGAAGACATTAAGCAATATTGCTTAGTGTATTTTTGTAAGTGATAATTACAAACTAGTAATGTAGTAAATTATTAGTAGATCTTAGAGCTGTGTTGCAAATTGTACTTTAATAACACAAGTTAGGGGTGAACAAAAATGCATTAGCAGTGAGGATCACTGTAGTGTAAACTATTTCAAGCCCTCAGCAATGCATGAATTTATGTTTTGAATTTCATTACTTTCCGCCCTTAGACATATTCTCTATTTTAATTTTTGTAGGTTTATATTGTTGCTATGAAAGAAAGAGACAGCCCCTCTTCAGTTAATCCCAGTGAAGATGACTTTTCTGAACCAGCAGGTAGCCTTCTGGAGCTGGTAGAACCTGAGTTGAAATCTTTAAGTAAATATTGGCTTGGAGCACTTAAAGATCATGCACTTCTTGCTCTGCCAGCAGAATATGCATCTCAATTGCCTCCACAAGGGGGCATGTTTTACAGGTATGTCATCCAGTGGGATTTGATACACTTAATTAACACTTGATTTATGACAGTGACGATGCATCTTTCCCATTCTTGACATTCTTGTTGAAATGCAGAAACATTTTAGCACAAGAATGTCCCACTTGTCATGTACTGTTTAAGACAACTGCTGGCAAGTCACACTCCTACTTGTTGAGAGTTTTAGAGTCCCTTGCTTGTTGACTGGTTAAAAAAATATCTGAATTTCAGAGATTGGCTCACTGGCCATTGCAAATGTTAGCCTTTGTTCCACTTCTGACAAACTCGCCTTTGACCAAACTTGGCATCACCTCTACTACAAGTCTGTTAAACGAAAAGATCAAGCTCAGATATATTTTGGTTGTTATTGGATAGTCAACATATAGTTCTGTAGGTCTGTCCATCAGTTCATCTGTCTGTATACCTCTTGCACAAAAATACAAGCTTTCAAGGTCTTGTCTTCATTCATAACACAGAAAATTTCCTCAAGTGTTGGGTTACTGACATCTAATTACCAAGATCTTAACGTGCAAATTTATATTTATAGCAACTTATTTTTGTATGTAGTCCTGATTCAATGGAGCAAGCAAAGCCCCATTACCAGAGTTGCTGGCCGTCCATTGTTCATGCAGCCTCCTTGTGGCTCAATAATGGAGGATTTGAAAGCATAAAACATGACATGCAAGAAGGTATCTGTTTATTATAATTCTGTTTAAAAGAAAGTTTGTAATTGTTATAATTCAAGGTAAAAGATGTTTATAATTATTACAGTGGAACCCAGCTTTATGGTCACTTTGTTAATACGGTCACCTTGTTAATACGGCCACCTCGTTAATATGGCCACCTCATTATCATGGCCAGTCTTTTTTGTCCTGGAAAAATGCCCATTCGTGTTCTTATAAGAAAACCCTTTTAATCAGGCCACCCCAAATATGATCAAAATCCCAACCTGTATAGTCCTCTATAATTTTACCTCTGTAATGCATGTATGGCCACTCGAACCAGTTATGTTCATAATTATTTCCATTGTTAATATTGTATGTACTGATTAAAGTCAAAACTTTCTTTAAAATCATACCTCCAATTTGAATGCTTATTGAAGAACAGTTGTTTAGAAGTGCAAATGTGATGTCTGTCAAGACATAACTTAAAATTGACCAGTCATGAAATTAGACCCTACTCTGTTAATGTGGCCACCCCATTATATTACATACATGTACAGTCAAATTTTCATGACCCATTGGTGACTGTATATTTAACAGTGTTCCAATTTATGTAAAATAACCATCTTAATTATGTTTTTTTTTTAATTTCAGGGTTATCAAGTGAATCATTAGACATAAACAACAGAGCAATGGTTACCACCGCCAAGACCCCAACTGAAGTGAACACAGATTACTTTCATTTACTTGTTGGAATTTGTATGGAATCCTTGTGTTCTTCCAGAGCAACACAACCTAACAGCACTGTTTCTGCATGTCTTAATGCATTCTTTAGTTTGCTGGATTCACAGTGGGCAAGAACTCTTATAGGAAATGAACAGGTCATACTGTAGGTTTAATCAGGCATTTACTATGATTATGAGTTGAGTAACGTGCATCGAAAGTTTGGTGACTAGGTTTGTCTTGTTTTCATGGGCAACTGGCTTTGTTTTGTCAGCCTTTGACATCATTGGCAGCAAAGTGTGCAAAGTAGCAGGTAACAATATTGTTACCATTGGAAAATTATGAAGAAAGTTGCCCATGGCAACAGTGTAATTTTAAGTTCAAAACTTTGTCACCAAAGCTCTGTTGCACCTTGCTCAACTGATAATCATGGTGGGAAACTTATCTAAATCCAAAGGTGACAATGATGAAATGAGTTATAATTATTTCCATCAGCACTCTCTTTGATATCTACAGTACTGTGCAAAAGTAATACATGGTATATAAATATCCTCTCTAAAGATTGGGCACGAAAGCTGCCAAAATCTCCTGAATACCATCACAACTGAACAAACTGTTAACTATCAAATTCACCTGGTTATTTCTCAATCAAGGCTCAATTGTTAACTTGATCGAAAAGCCAAAACACTGCAGAACTGAAGTCAGTGAACCTACCAGATAATCTTTCACAAATTTTTAGATTCGGTTAACTTTGTCATTGACAATGTTGTATGTTATCCTCTGATTGGTGATTAATGACCACAAACTGTGTCCTCTGGAACACATAATAAAAAATTATGTGTATCAAAGTTGATTTTGTGTAAGTTAGGCGACAGTTTGTATCAGATGCAAAGAAAACTTCCGCAAATGCTGACGAATTTCTGACTGTTTTTCGCACTTTGTTCCAGCGAATTACCACTCAACATGCTGTAAAATTCCGCACAATTTATCGTGCAAATTTTCAACAAAAGTTTATGAGAATGAACAAAATTCACATATTTCACTTGGATTACTTTGGCACAATACTGTAATATATCATGGTTTTCTTTAGGTGCGTGGTACGTTATTAACCGGGTGGCTATGGGCCGAGAGCGGTTCTAGGTTTACTCAGAGTTTATTATTATTTTTTTTTTTGTTGGTGATCAGACCCAAACTTCCTCTCAGCCAAATTTTGAATCACACAACCTGTAATGTCTGTTTGCCAAAAGCTGTTGAAACATTAATACACAGATAATGTTACGGATATTGTTTTCTTTATTGTGTGTAAAATGTATTTTCTTTTGGTTTTATCAAAGCATTGGCTTGAAGGGAATAATAAATACGCTAAAAAAAGGTATTACGTCAGCCATGGAATGCGCTTTTGCTACGTGACAAATAGATTGTGTTTACTTTGCAAGTTTATTCTGGCAGGAGAGGCAGTCTTTTTAGTATTCAGAGTATTTTTCATAATTTTCGACTAGAGAAGTGAATTGTCGTGCTGTTTTATTGAAGCGAGTTCAAAGATCGGAAGGTAAATTAAATATTTGCAAGCCAAGCAAAGAACGTGTCAGAACATGCAAGAATTACGTCATTGGTAGGGAAAATAACCACCATACTAAAGATAACCGTGGATACGTTTCTTGAATTACGCGACTCATGTGACTATTCGTGGAAAAAATTAATTGAATTTAAATTAAATTTAATCGTGACTTTTAAGAAAGAAAGCTGTTGTTAATAGTGTTATTATCGCATCGTTCGCATCATTCATGCCCATACATATCCCGAAGAAAGTCCCAGATTAAGACCATTACATCATTGGAGATTTCATAACGGCCACAACTGATGGTGCAATAATACACTTTGTGTTGATCAAGTGATGTGATGTCTACAGTAATAAATGAATCATCAAGGACTGCTTTGGAATGTGCATTGCGTTGCGACTGTAGTGCTAAGAAAACAGTTAAATTTTAAAGCGCGGTTATAGGATCTAACAGATCTTCTTGTTTTTGTTAAATTCTACTTGTACTCTAATGCAAATGCTACAAGGAATAGTATCTGATTGGCTAAACTGTTCATATTTTATCAGTCATGAGAACAAGAGTACACTTATATGTCAATTCTGATAACCACATTTAATGTAAGAAGTAATGACCAAGTATGACCAAGTAAATGCAAAATGTGTGCGGGTGTTGTGTGTTTTGAAACCAGTCAAAGATTCACAAGCCTCGACCTGTTTGTTGCTGGTAGAGTTTGTGACATGCATGTCATTTCACAAACATGAAAATTCACAAAGGCTCACACTGCTGAAGAATGTTTTGTCTGGACTTAATGTTTGTGCAGTTTTGTACAAGATATTGCTTGAAAAAGCGAAACATGACCAATGTTTCATCTGATGTACCGATACTTCACTAAAATTTTGTTGAGGTGTTATTATCATCACTATCATTATCAAATTTCCACTAGCCAGCCAACACATCACTGACATACTACCACAATCAAGCAAACAAATACCATGTTAGCTGTCACACTTCTTGGCTGATCAGTAGTATGCTAGTGGATTCCCCAATATCATACACAGTTGGAGTGTGTACCATCTTTTTTTTTTATCTCAACATTATTATGTACTGTCTTTCTGTATGTGTTTTGTTTTAGTCCAAACAGATATGTTATTTTGTCATCTTCAAAACAGTGCATTTTATTTGTTCACATTATTTCATATGGAATTCAATTTGTTATCTTTAAAAGCATTTAGCAATCTTCATTTCTTGTTCAGATTCTTGGTGTTGAGATGCTGAGTGTGTTACACCGAGTCCTGCTCACAAGAGACTCCCTTGATATCCACCTTGCTGCCATGAGAGTTGTGAAGCAGATTGTCAAGGCAGCACAGGAATCATTAGATGGCAAAAAGGCTGCAGTTACAAAGTAAGAAATTTACCACATTCTTTTGACTGTGAAGTTTTGGATTAGTTATTAGTACATGTAGTTTGTCAAAATTGATTACACAAAATACAATGAGAAGAAGCCAATTAGAGTACAGAGAATTAAAAATAATTTAGTCAGTTAGTATAGGAAATGGCATGGTTTCTAGGGGTTATCTGGTATAAATACCACGAGTGACATTTTAAAATTCACCAAAATTCACTACTGGCCTTAGCCAATCACATTTTAGAAATTTCTCAGCTTGCAGTATAATACAATAAATAGTTATAATGGCTTGTAAGTGATCTCCTCCAATTATAAGCAACTGTAACTACTTGTCATGTCTCTGGTTTAAAATTTTGCATGCTATTTAACCTCCTTGGGTGACCAGTTTACAGGCAATTAGATCACACTGTAGACAACAACTAGAAAACAACCCTGATGTATTATACAAAAAGAAGTTAGTTAGCTTTATAGTTAGCTTTATAGGGCAAACACAATATTACAGGTGTCCCAGTAGTTTACATTGTGGCCCTTTTAAATACAGACTAGCAAATATTGTAAATACATGCCAAGTAGTTGGAGGCAGACCAGTTGGCTATTTACAAGGCGTGGAGGGGTTGAATGTGGGACTACCAAAAACGAAGCCATCCAGTGGCAGGAAGAAGGATTTGAACCCTGGACCTCTGGATTACAATATGCCCCCTATAAACAAATGTTGTTCTTGACTAGAGCTTTTCATTGTGATATCTGAAGCTCACTGTAGATGACATAACTAAGATGTGTAAAGTACTTCAGGTCAATTAGAGTATGAAACTTCTTGTTAGAAATAATAGCAAACCTGATAATAAAATTTCTATTTGTGCCTTTTCTCGGCTATTCAAAGACACTTTTGACAAATGAAATAGCCTAAAAGTGTTTAAATTATTATACAGCAAAGTATGTAAGTATATTAACTGAGAAGGTGGATAGGTAGGTCCCCAAATTTAGTGCAAAATGATTCTTACTGAATCTTTTACAGTTTACTGATTATAATGTAAAATCCCACTTTAAAGCCCTGGGCTTATATAACTTCATAAGGGGGTTTTGGGTGGGCTTATAAACAGGGGGCTTATATCCAGCAGGGGAGGCTTATAAGCGGAGTAAAGCAAATGGTTCTGAACGACGATGAGGTAAAACGTATTTGAGAAACGAATAAAAAAGCCTATGGATAACATTATTGCACATCCCCAATGTGTTAGCGCAAGTTTTGTCGGTTCTTAAAAGACAGGAACTGATGAGCATGACAGGTGAAGTCGCGGTGGCCTCATCGTTAGTGCGTTCGACTCTGGATCGAGCGGTCCGCATTGGAGCCCTGGCCAGGGACACTGTGTTGTGTTCTTGGGCAAGACACTTAACTCTCACAGTGCCTCTCTCCCGGCAGGGGGGGGGGGGCGGGGAACTTTGGGAATTTCTGAGTGGGGATGTGCGGCTGGGACCCTGGAACCCTTAGCCCATACCAGAGCTAGTTCAGCTGAATTTTGCTACCCTATACCAGGGCTCAAAATTGTGACTCACTGGTCGCCAATGCGACCAAAAATTGAGCACTGGCGACTAA